CACATGTGGGTGTGTTTACTTGACTGTATGCTTATATGTAGAATCTAGAGGCCAGCTCTGAGTGCCCTCCTCTACTATTTCCCACCTTTTTTCATGACAGGGTCTCTCACTAAATCTGGAGCTTGTCATTTTGACTAGACTAGTTAGCCAGTACACCAGTGGGATTAGCCTGCCCTATCCCAACCCCACACCTGGGGTTAAAGGTGCAAACCACCATTCCCAGCATTTATGTGGGCTCTGTCATAAGCAGCCATATGAAGAGGTCATGTGACAAAGAACCAAAGACAAGCAAAGCATATGAGATAAGACTTGAAGATATGCACTAGAAGGGCTCCTACATGTAACACATGCATTCCAGAAGGAGGGTGGAGAAGACAACTGCCAAAATATAAATAATAAACTTTTTATTTTAAAATGGCAGGGTTAATATATTTTTGCTTCTCGTTTTTCCTTACTAGTCTTTGGGATGCTACTTAAGCAAGCACATTATCAAAGCAAAACAAACAACACGTGTGTGGTTAAATCACATGTGTGTGCTTAAGGCCATAAACACCAAAAGGCACTTTGGGTACATGAGATATTTTAGTATTTCTAGAAGACAAAATAGGAATAAAAATTTTTGACAGAAAAGAAAAATAGAGAAGTGTGGTGATATATGATTTATGATTTAATAAAGATTGCCTGAAGTATCAGAAAGCAAAGCCCACAGAAGCTAGGCGGTAGTGGCACACACCTTTAATCCCAGGACTCAGGAGACAGGCAGATGAATCTCTCTGAGTTCAAGGCCACTCTGGCCTACACAAGAATGAAGAGTAACAGAACTCTCATGCCTTTAATCTCAGCACTAGGGAGGTGGAGACAGGAGTGATATGGCTGGGTGAAGAAAGGAATATAAGGTGGAAGAGACAGGAACTGAGAGCTCAAGATTTGTGGAGATAGGATTGCCATTTCAGAGAGGTAAGAGCTACTGGCTTGGCTGCTTTGCTTCTCTGATCTTCAGTCTGAAGCTTGAACCCCAATATCTCTCTCTCTCTCTCTCTCTCTCTCTCTCTCTCTCTCTCTCTCTGGGTTTTTTACAAAACAATCTGTTATAAATAAGGTAGTCTGTTTCCCCAGGAGGTCTGTGGGCTAACAATAATAGATAATTGATAGTCACATTCCTACACACACCCAATACAAGCCAAAAGAATAGCTGAGTTTCCCCTCAGGCAAGGGGGAAATGGCTGTTCTCTAAAGAAATTAAGACTCATCTGGGGCCAGCAAGGTGGCTCAGCAGGTAGGGTGTAACTTGAAGCCTAAAAACCTAAATTGCATCCTGGGAAACACAGGAGAAGAGAACCAACTCCTACAAGTTGCCTTCTGACCTCCAGGTGTGTCAGGCAGGGCACAGTGCGCGCACACACACACACACACACACACACACACACACACACACACACACACACACACATATACACCATGTACAATAAATAGTGTAAAAGAAAAAAGAGTCAGCAGAGGAGAAATGACCCACTGCTTTTAGAAGTACCCTCAAAGGATGACTGCTCTTAGAACAGACTGGCCCTGCTGTGAGTGCCCTGACAAACAGAGTAGGTATGGTAGTTTCCTCCCTCCCTGGGGAGTATAGAACTCATGTACTGAAAAAGTTTCAAGTGATGGCAGCACTCACTTGTTAGTCAGATGCTCAGGTGACCCAAATGTCTGCACCACCTCCCAGCTGAGGCCAGGAAATGACATGAACATGATGAAGTGTAATTTGAATTTGCCTCAGAGAAAATCTGCAGCTATATCATTGTGAAATAAAGGGTAGACCCTTGGAAGCATCTGGAAACATAGACTGCTCTTCTGGAACAATAACCAGATTCCCATGAAAACTGGCCTCAAGAGACCAGTATTACAAACAATAGAAAAACCTCTCTCCAGCTCTTCTGTGAAATCAGAACAAAGCCATTTTAAGACATCCAGGGACAGAAAATTTATCTTCTAGGACAAAAACTCATGGTAACATATAGTCATCAGGGTATTGGATTCCATAGAGGTATTAACTTCTGTGGTGAAAGAGCCTTCACAGGTTGATAAGGATCATGAGGTAGAAATGGATGTCCAGGGAGGTTAGATGTAATCCCAAGGAGCCTTCAAAAGCAGAGATGGAGAAAGAGGAGGCAGTATGGCAACAGAAGCAGGTTGAATGGTGCTAAGCTGCTGTCTCTGTCTTCTGTGTCCTGCTTACTGCATTTACAGCATGTTCAAATACATTGTCGCCAATTAACAGTTCTTTTTATGGCTGAATAATATTCTGTTATATAAATGTGCCACAATTTTTTCCATCAATTATTGATAAACTGTTGGCATTTTTGTTTTGTGTTTGTTTGTTGAGACAGGCTTTCTTGGAACTCACTTTGTAAACCAGGCTGGACTCAATCTCACAGAGATCTACCTGCCTCTGCCTCCCAAGTGCTGGGATTAAAAGACTGCACCACCACCACCACTCAGCTGAGCCATTGGCATTTTAAGTTTTTACATTTATTGCATGTGTGCATGCATGTACCATGGTGTGGGAATAAGTTTCAGGAGGTGCGTGTTAGTTCTGGAATTGAACTCTACCCTGAGATATCTCATGGCTACCATACTTTTCTGATGACAAAGTTAGTTATAGCCTTGTGATCACCATTCAGAAGTGACAGTACCAGTGCTATGGTGTATGCTCAAACACCTTTTACTCCTGTTGTGAGCAGTGTTGGGGACTGAACTCACAGCAACAGCAATGATGGGCAGGCACTGTCACTGAGCTATAGCCAGATGTTTGCATTTATAAAAGTATCTTAACCACTAATCCTCTGAGTCTTTTATCTGAGAATGTCTCTACTTTAGTTTGTATCTTTACTCTTTTCTTATTCTAAAATAGTGTCTCACTGTGTGTAGCCCAGGATAGCCTGGAACTTATGGTATTCCTGCCTCAACTTCTTTAGTCCCTTGATTTCAGGTGTATACTCACACAATGGCTTATTTTTAATGAATGTAGATTTCATAAATTTATTTCATAAATGTAGATTTATGTGTCAACATGGTTTTCCCTTCAAGTACCTTAAGTATATCTATTTTACTTAATTTTAATATTTCATTGAAAACTCACCTCTCATCTGTAGTTTTGTTTCATTGTGTTTTTCAAGATAGGTTTTCTTATCCGTGCCCAATGGCTTCTGTCTGTTGTCTCAGCATTCAGGATGTTGAGGCAGGAGCATCACCATGAGTTCAAGGCCAATTTGGTCAATATTGTGAGTTAGTGAGTTCCAGATCAGCCTGAGATAGAGTGAAAAATCTCTGTCTCAAAATAATAATAATAATTTTTCTTTGTTTTCAAGGCATTTTTCTGTCTGGATTTAAATAGTTTGTCTATGATATATCTACTTGTGATTTTATTTGTGTTATCCTACCTAGGTTTATGCAATTCATTGTATTAGTACATCATGACTATTACCCACAAGCTTGAGGGGCATCATATTTCTCTGAGTGTTTTTCTCTCCCACTCTGTCTTGTCTTTTTTTTTTTTTTTTCCTATTATCTACGTGTCTCTCCTTAAATCTGATCACTTTTATGGCTTCATTTTTATTTCATTTCTATTGTATTCACTTTGCTCCTAAGCCATTCCAACAAATTTTATTTATTTATTCACTTAAGCAGAGTCTCACTATATATCCTAAGCTGCCTTGAACTTTTATCCTTTGGCCTCAGCCTCCCAAGTACTGGGATTATAGGTGCAATCCCACACTGGCTATCTAGCCAGTTTTTTATAATTTGTTTATTTCATGTGTAAACGTTTTACCTGCATGTATTATGTGCACCATGTATGCATGTTTTTATGCATGCCTGCCTGGTGCCTGTGGAGGTCAGAAGAGAGCATCAGATCCCCTGGGACTGGAGGTACAGACTGACAGTGGGTACTGGAATCAACCCTGAGTCCTGTGGAAGAACATCCAGCGCTCTTAGCCACTGGCAAACACTGAATTCTAGCCTTTTTTATGGCTTTGGATTTTAGTGCTTAAAAGAAAGTTTGTATATGATTTTAAATCATGCAATCATACTCTAGCATATCAGTGTCTATTATTTGTCAGGCCACCGTCCTCTTTTCTCTCTGGCTTTGAAGGTTTTCTTGCTCTTGTTGGCTCTGGGAATTTAGAAATTAGCCTACTTTTAACTTAATTAGTAAGTGTTTCAAAATAAAAGGCTGTTTCTTTGCCAACAAGAGTACCATGAATGAGTCATCTACATCTCTGTTCTGTTCCCCCAGTTACAGGAATAATTTGGGCTTTAGTATCAAACAATTATTATTGTCCCTTTCTAAATATCTTTACAAAATGCCTTTCACCTTTTATTTCCTTATATGTAACTGTGTCAACTCTGTTAAAGCTTACACATCAAGTTTATGATGATGGCTTACACTGTCTGTCCCTTTCTTTCATAGCATGGCTCCTCTATATCTAAGATTTTCATTTCTATTGTTTCATTGGATATTAAAGTATCTTACTATTTAAAGAAGTTCATGTTATCCAAATCTTTACATGTCTGAAAATGTTTATTAAATTATATTCATTTAATATAGCAGATTTTTATAAACACTTTTGTAAAGAGGTGTAGTAAAATGTAAATATGTGTATGCAAATTTCATTTTTCAGTATACTGCAAAATAAAAAATTAGGGGGATTAATAAACTAAGACATGTGTACTAGTAGATATTGATCAAATACAATTATTTCTGGCCATAACTATAGAATCATAGCAATTTTAATACCTTTGCTTCATAACCAAAGTATAAACAATATTATTTCTATAGTTGTAATTATAAAATAAGTCTAGATCATATAAAGCAAGTATTTTCATGTTTATATTTAATATCATTTTTGGTTTGTAAATTAAATACTGATAAGCTAGGTAGATATTTAAATGTGATTTTTTTTTTTTTTAACCTGTTGGTAAGTTTTTTAAAAGAAGCTTAATTTTAGTGTGTTTTAGTTACTCCATGGATTCCTTTGGGCAACTCAGACCAGAAGATAACCAGTCAGTAGTGAGCAGAATGCAGAAGAAATACTGGAAAACTAAACAGGTCTTTATCAAAGCAACGGGAAAAAAGGAGGATGAGCATGTAGTGGCGTCTGATGCAGAACTGGACGCTAAACTTGAGGTAAACGTGAAGACTGTTTTGTGGAACTGGTTGTTACTTGAGACTCCCAGGGGGACTGCAGCAAACTTCCACACGAAGAGTATACAGAGCATCTTAGCTGGGGTTGCCATTGCTGCTATGCAACACCACAACCAAATGCAAGTTGGGGAGGAAAGGGTTTATTTGACTTTTACACTTCCACATTCTCTTCCACATCTGTAGTCTATCATTGAAGAAAGTCAGGCAGGAACTCAAACAGGATGGGCAGAGCTGATGGAGAGGCCATGAGGAGGGCTCCATGGCTTGCTCAGCCTGCTTTCTTAAAGAATTCAGAACCACCAGCCCAGGGATGGCTCCACCCACAATGGGCCAGGTCCTCCCCCATCAATCACTAATTAAGAAAATGCCCTGCAGACTTTGCCTACAGCCTGATTTTCTCAACGGAGGCTCCTTCCTCTCAGATGGCTCTAGTTTTGTCAAGCTGACATAAAGCACAGGGGGAAAGGCAGCTTGGCTATAGGATGCTTAGCTGTGCTAGTCGTTCACAAGTAGCCCAGGCATGTCAGCCCATGCTTTTAGTCCCAGCACTCGGCAAGTGGAGGCTGGCAGATCTCTGAGTTCAGCACCAGCCTGGTCTACAGAGTGAGCTCCAGGGCAGCCAGGACTACTCAGAGAAACTCTGTCTCGAAACAAAAAAAGAGCCCACAACTGAACATTTGTATAACTGGTAGAAAGACTATGAAACTGGGGGGGAAACAAAACAAAACAAAAAAACAGAAAACTATGAATTGAGTAATTTTCTGCATACCTGTTACTGTGTTAAAGTCAGATATTAATAAACATTTAAAATCCTAGTAGAGACTCTATACTCATTTTAGGTTATATCATAATATGTTGTCCTCTAATACTGTCTATATCTCACTGAAATAAGTTAGTTGACACCAAGTAGCAAATGGCAATAGGGTTTTTGTTTTCTATTATCCACTTGTGGTCTTTGTTTATGTTTTGTGATACTAGGAATGAACCTAGGGCCTTTGCCCAGGACAGGGTCTCACTCTATAGCCCCCTCTGGCCTGAACTCACTGTAGACAGACTGGCCTTGAACTCACAGAGATCTACCTGCCTCTACTTTGTGCTTTCTAAGTACTAGAATTAAAGGTGCACGCTACCACAACCCTCCTGAACCCAGGTTCTTGCACATGTAAGGCAAGCACTTTCCCATTGAGCTCTGTCCCCAGATCCAGTGTAGGCCCCGCTTTTTAAAAAGACATCTTGCTATGTATTTTCAGGCTGGGTATGTATCCCAAGCTGGCCTCTCTGCTTCATAAGACAAGACTATAGGTTTATACCTCTATGCCTCCTGGTTTATTTCTATTAAGAGATGAAGTTAAATGAAAATTTTTCTAATAACCTGCTTAAATTCCTTTTAATTTTAAATAAAAGAACCGTAAGTCTTGCCAGACCTATGGGAAACCCCTATCATAATCACCTCATCCTGGTAGAGTCATCTTTTTTGCATTATTTTGTAATCTTCTATATGTATTGAAAACATTTTTATTTTTTATTTATTTTACATGTATGAGTGCTTTGCCTTCATGTATGTCTTCATACCACATGTGTGTCATGCCAGAGAAAGCCAGGAGAGGGCATCATATCTCCTGGAACTGGAATTACAGATGGTGCTAGGAATTGAACTCAGGTCCTCTGAAAGAGTAGCCAGTGTTTGTTTGTTTTAACTGCTGAGCCATCTCTCCAGCCCCTGAAAATTAAATTTTAAATGGCCATACCAGATACCAAATCCAATTCAAGCACATCTAAAGTTAACTGGGAAATTTATCATTTCTCCATTAGATCATTAGTGCTTATTATAAATATTACCAGGTTTAATTAAGCATCAACAGTAAAACTCCAATAGTCAGAGGGTGTTGCCTCAATCTAGAAATGTCAGGGTTCTTTGAACAATGCATAGAATTTCTTCAGGGTTAGACTGTGTAAAAGAAGATCACTCTGAAATCCACATGGGAAAGTGGATGAGTGAAGATTATATCATTTATGCATCTTTATCTTGTGTGCTTTGAAGATGGAGTCCACTGGATATCTTCTTAATTTTCTGTTGCTGATTAACCATAGTAGCAAGGTTGGGAAATTCCAAACAAAAATAATCCAAAAGCAAGTTTTTGTAATTTTAATTATTTATTTTCAAATAACTTTCTTTTTCTTTATGGCAGTTCTAAGTTGAATCCATGCCTTCGTGCATGCTCGGCAACTGTTCAACCACTAAGCCATATATATTATATCTCCAGCCCCCTCTTTTTCAAAAGCTGTTTCTATTTGGTGTCATAAATCTTTTTAGTCATAACTCGTTTTTAACTGTTACATAAAAATAAACAATTGTACATGGTAATGGAGAGATAGCTCATCAGTTAAGAGCACTGACTGCTCTTCTAGAGGATCCAGTTTGATTCCCAGCACCCACATGGCATTCACACTGTCTGTAACTCCAGTCTCGGGATCAGACACCCTCTTCTGGCTGGCAGTAGCACCTGGTATCCATGTGGTTAGAGACATACCTTCAGGCAAAACACATACAATAAAGATAAATAAATCTCCTTTAAAAGTTGGATACTATGTGGAGTGCATGTGAGAGGGCAGAGAGGGTAAAAGGGAGGGAAGGAGGGAGGGAGGGAGAGGGAACTGGGATCGACATGTAAAATAATAAATTAAATTAAAAAAAAATGCTTTGACTCCAAAATTTAAGTTGAAGGACAAGTTACTGGGGAAAAGGATTTCTATTTTTGTTTCCACAGAAAATGAAAAGATGTGGATTCCTAAAAAAAAAAAAAAGTTGGATACTATGAAACCTTTACACACACACACACACACACACACACACACACGCATGCGCGCACATGCGTGTGTGTGTGTGTATGTGTGTATATATATAGTTTAAAATAGACTAAACACATCTCAAACATTTCTCATTTTTTTATAGTGAAAAATTTCAAAATTATTACCACTATTTAAATTTTATATTATATTGTGGTCATCCTGTCTCAAACAAAACATGACAAACGATAAAGTTATTATAAGCTTTCACGACTGCTTTACATGTAGTGACTATGTGTGACTACAGTGTTGGGGCTTTGAACTCAGTTTCCCTGGTTCCATCTCCCTTACTGGTGTTACAAGCTGCACCACTACACTTGCCCAATATTTTTTTTTTCTTTCCTCTGTACACATCCCTGGCCATCCTGGAATTTGCTCTGTAGACCAGGCTGGCCTTGAATTCACAAAGATCCACCTGCCTCTGCCTCCCTAGTACTGGGATTAAAGGCATGTACCACCACCACCCAGCCCAGTACATTATTTTGTTAAAGTAAACTTACTGAGCTGTTTTGCTTTGACTAATATTAGAAAAAAAGCCATGTTGAGCATCAGCTGTTTCTAAAATGTTCTTTTCCTATATATGTTTTCCTTTAATGTATGTCATATTGGATATAACTTTCTAGTGTTTCAATAATTGGGAGCTGAAGGGAGAACAAATTCTGTAGATAAATTCCACACATTTATCTCTTTTTCTTAAGTATTCACAGAGAAAATTTAAATGTGCTTTTATTAAAACAATTTTATTTATTTTTATTTTATGTGCATTGGTGTTTTGCCTGCATGTATGTCTGTGTGAGGCTGTCAGATTTTGGAGTTAACAGTTGTGAGCTGCCATGTGGGTGCTGGGAATTGAACCTAGGTCCTCTAGAAAAGCAATCAGTGCCCTTAACCACTGATCCATCTCTCCAGCCCCAATGTGCTTTCACTATCAGTAATAAAACTAAGCCTGAAGTACATCCCAGTCAATAAAAATAGACATAATATTTATAAAATAGACATAGTCAATATGTGTTTAAGAAACATATATTATAACCAAGTAAAATGGACATAATTTATTAAATATACCCAATAGTTATTTTATGTAAATGTTCTGGTTTTGAAGTGCTGAAAGTTGTATTTGTTTATTGTTTTTTAAATTGTCTTAATAAAATTTATCTTTCAAGGTTTTTCACTCCATCCAGGAGACATGCAATGAACTTCTGAAGATAGTTGAGAAATATCAACTAAGACTCAATGGTATGACATCATATCTGATAATTTTATTTCAAATAATATTGGTATGCATTTTTGAAAATGAGTCATTTAATGGAAAGTATTTCCATTAAACTATTTCATGAGCTTTTATTGTGAAATATGAACATTTATAGTAAACATTTACAGTGTCCATCCTCTCTCTCCTTCTTTGGTTCATTAGATCCCTTGACACAGAATCACTTTCTACTCTTGGTTTTACTCTCTTGGTGAGCATTAGGTTTGCGTCCATCATTCAAAACCTCTTTACCCCTGCAGATTTTACAATCAGTACCCCTTTTTTCTTCTTACAGAACTATTTGATAAGGTTGTTTGTATGCTATGTAGGAACTTTATTCCTCCTTTTTTTTTTTTTTTTTTTTTTTTTTTTTGTTCCTGTCTGCAGTTTAGGAACCTGTCCTGGAATTCTCTCTGTAGACCAGGTTGGCTTTGAACTCACAGAGATCCACTTGCCTCTGCCTCCCAACTATTGCAATTAAATGTGTGTGCTACCACTGCCTGGCTTTTTTTTTTTTTAAAGACAGTTTCATTATGTAGCCCAAGCTGGCCCAGAATCCTCCTGTTTCCAACTTCCTGAATGCTAGGATTTACAGCATATCCCACCACACCAGGCTATAACATGAAAAATAAAAGACCCAGAGACTGACATTGGGGTTCAAGCTTCAAGCTGAACATCAGAAAAGCAAAGCAGCCAGCCACTAGCTCTCACCTCTAGCTCTGGCCGAAAGGGCTAATCCATGCATGAGCTCTTCACCAAGTCTCAAATTGCTGCCTCTTCTCGTTGTGGCAGGATAATAAATGCCTCTCTTGAGATCTTGCTTCTGTCTTATATATTTCTCTAATGTTGGGATTAAAAGTATGAGCTATAATTCTCTTTTAGACTGATCACTCTTGTGTAGATCTGGGTGGCCTTGAACTCACAGAGATCCATCTATCTCTTAATCCTGAGTCCTAGGATTAAAGTTGTGTACCCCCCTCCTAGCTTCTGGCTGCTGAGATTAAAGGTGTATCTGGATTCTATGACTGGTGGCTGACTTTGCTTTCTGAATCCTCAGGCAGGCTTTAATAAGTTATTAACAGTACCTCACAACACCAGACTTTTTTCTTTCTGCTTTACTTATATTCAGTATATATCACTTCCTTTCCTCCAAGCATCTCATCCCCACAGTTGATTGCTTCCTCCTTTATTCTGCTTCCACATGCAATCCCCTTTGGTTTTCCTCTTCAGTGTCATTCCTTCTTGGGGTTCTACCTTTGGTAGGCTCTTCTCTGTCCCTGACCTCTTTAGGTTGGAACTTAGCCTTTGAATTTCTTTCTCTACTTCAATATATTGGCTTATTGGATGTGGCTACCTCTCTGACCTCATATCCTAAAACCCTTCCATTGAATTATGTTCATCTCTTTCACAACATGCATATCTGTATCATATGTTCCCTAACTTTCCTTAGGTTTATAGTCAAAAGCCATCTTTTTGATAGTGCTTTCCCTTGGCTTCCATATCTAAGTTCAAACTCCCTCTCCTTTATAACTTCCCTGTGTTTCACACCTAGAATATGCTTTCAAGTTTTTATTACTTACTAATTACTTTTACATGAAGTCAGGACATGCACATGTTAGGGTATGAGGTCAAAGGAAAACTTGAAGAAGCCAATTCTTTCTTTCTACAGTGTGGACTCAGGGAATTAAACTCAGGTCATCAGGCTTGGTGGCAGGTGCCCCCTGCTGAGCCATTGTGCTGGATGTGATGATGCAAGAATTGGTTTTGTTTACTTGTGTGTCCCCAAACCTTAAAAACAATGTCAGTACTCAGTAAATGTGTGCTCATTAATAATTGCTTTCCTGTCTGTGTGATGACTCACTCCTGCAACCCCAACACTCAGGAGGCTTGAGTAGGAGGATCACTGAATAGGAGGCAAGTGTGGGCCAGTTAGTACCAGGTTGGTCTGGGGTACAGTAAAACTCTGCCTCAAAAAAAAAAATACTATCTTCAAAGATGTGTAAGCCAATGTTATCATTTACAATCAAAGCTCATCTTAAAGAACTCCAATATGGCACAATTAGGCAAGTTTTTTTTTTTATGTGTGTGTGTGTGTGTGTGTGTGTGACTGTGTCATATATAGTATATATGTGCTTTTTGCAAGAAAATAGTTGAACTTTTTGTAGCAAAAGATGATACAAAAAGCATGCAATTGAATCAGTTTAGAGACGTAATAGAGAACTGCAGGTGGGAATAAATGGGGGATAGTGTTTGACAGTGGAATGTGGAAATGGTTAGGTGGTTTGTGGAGGGTTGATAGAGGAACAAAGAGATTTGGAGGCCAGGGAATGAGATTAAAGTAAGAAAACAGCCTTATGCATGGAGATGTTTGTAATTAAGACTAGGAAGGATAAAGAACAACGGGAACTTGGGACAGATTACTAAGGGTCAAAAACACCAAGCTGTAAAGGCTGTTGTGACCACTGGACCATCATAGTCCACTAAAATGGGAATGTCAAGAAACACTGGCAAGTTTGTTTGTGTGTCTTCAATTTCATCATGAAATCACTAGGTCTTTCAGCATCCTCATGGCATTTCAGAAGAAGGAAGAGATAAGTGCAGGTTTCAAGTGTTCTTTCTGATATGATTACATAAATATGTGTGTCTTGAAGATCCTTATACTAATAGGTCGTCTGCTGGTCATACTATCAGACAAATATGGTGGAATTTTAGGAACTTTTTGTAAGGGAGACTGAATGTTGAGCTATGTGAGCTCAACATTTGCTGTGTCACCGAGCAGTACTCTACATACATCTTTATGGAATAACTTGCCCTGGGATGAGCCTGTCAGAATGGGCTATCTGTTGATGTTGGCAGGCTGGTCCCACCACAAAAGCAGTACAGGTTGAACTTCACCTGCCCTTTCAACCTCAATAAAGGTAAGTCTCGGCAATGATTTATGCTTCATTTTTTACCTGATAATGAAGTGTCCCATGTTTCCCAGAGATTTTCCCTACTTATTAAAGTAGTGAGCCATAGGAAAATTCATACCTCTCAAGCAATTAGAATGTTAACATGATTCCTGAATGAAAATGAGGACATGACCACTCCAAGTGTGGTTGAGAAGAGTTTTATTGTAGATATGATGTAAGAGTACAACCAAAGATATCTAGAAGAGTCCAGGCTGAAAGAGACGGCAGGCTGAACTAGGCCATGGGGATGTGGGTGGGTAGAAGAAAGAGGCAAGAGAAGAGAAGGCAAACGATGGAGAGAGGTCCAGGAACATAGCCAAGAGAAGAACCAAGAGAACATGTAGCCCAAATGGCTGAATTATATAGGAAAAGAAGCTGGAGGAAGGGAATTGAAGCCCAGCCCCTGAGTTGGAGAGGTTTAGGGTATGGGGTGGGGTGAAAAGTACTGGGAAAAACCACAGGTACTGAATGATGCTGGGTGCTTTGATGTATTCGTGGCACCTCACTTATATGAGGTGCCCACTGGGTTGGTTTTTTTTTTTTTTTTTTTTTTGGTCTTGGGTTTCTTTGAGATCTAACATTCCAGCTTTTTGCTGATGACAGAGGACAATATAATCTCTTCTGTAACTACTACTGAGCTGAAATTGAGGTGTCATTGTTGGGACTGGAAGACTGGAATGTTGGTCAAAGGCTTACAAATGAAGAGACTCTGATACTTCCCTTTCAGTTTTTGTTTTGTTTTTACTTTTTATTTTATTTTTCTTAACAGGGTTCCTCTGTGTAACCCTGGCTGTCCTGGAACTCACTCTGTAGAACAGGCTGGCCTTGAACTCAGAGATCTACCTTCCTCTGCCTCTCAGGTGCTGGGGTTGTTTTTACTTTTTAAGTGGGTATTAATGTTTTACAAATATGTTTGGAGACTAATGCAGAGCTGCCTGTATTGGATGCTGTCTTAGAGTTTTATTGCTGTGAAGAGACGCATGGGAACTCATATAAAGGAAAATGTTTAATTTGGGCTGGCTTATGGTTCAGAGGCTAAGTCCATTGCCATCATGGCAGGAAGTATGGTGGTGTGCAGACAGACATGGTGCTGGAGAGGTAGCTCAGAGTTCTACATCTGGATCCATGGACAGCAGGCCCACTTTGAGCTTCTGAAACTGCAAAGCCCTCTGCCAGTGACACACTTCCTCTGATAAGACCACACCTCCAGTAGGGCCACTCCCTGAGTCTATGGGGGTCATTTTCCTTCATTCCATCACAGATACACTCCTTAGTCACCTGTCTACATTTTGTGGTGACAAAACTTTTCATCTTGTCTTTATTGTTTACTATGACCCCTGCATTATCTTCAAACTGAAGACATGCACCATCTTCTCTTCCATATGACTTTCACTGACAAATCACTACTGCTGGATGGACCTTTTCCCGTAGCTCTGGTTTGCATTTCTTAACTGTGCCTATCACCATGTTGCCCACACCAGCAGTGGGAAGTCTGCCCAGCTGTCCTTTGATTCCCTTCACAGAAACCTTGTACATACTTTTGGTTCCTGTGATGTCAACAGTTAGTTACTGTAAGACCCAAAGGAACCCAGAATTTCACTTAAGATTACTTCCACATCATGAGCACAGGGAAAACTTTCAGTTTTCAGCCTCAGGTTTTTCTCTTGGCTAAGGTGAAAGAAGGCTGTCATTTGTTGTCATTTCATGTTCCCTTTAACTCAGGTGGAGCACTTACAGACTTTTTGTCCTTATCAATTTGAGAGTGGTTTAGAAGTTAGCAGGTAGGAACTAGATTGGTGTTTCTAAGGCACTCTGTGGTAAAGGAGCAATATTTTGCTTTGTGGTTCACTTCTAGTCTGGCACATTTGTAAAGTGTAATAAGAATGAGTTCCAGGCTGGGTGTAATGGTGTACTCAGTAGGCAGGTGGATCTCTGTGAGTTCAAGGCTAGTCTGGTCTATAGAGTGGGTTCCAGAGAATCTAGGGCCACACAGAGAAAAACCCTATCTGGAAAACAAAAACAAACCCCAAACAAACAAAGACTGTACAAAACCTAAGCATACTTCTGTGTGTACATGGGGTCTTACATGTACAGAGCATGTGTTCTGAGTTCTACCTACTCAGCCAAGCCCTACTGGTTTTGTTGTTGTTAGCTATGACAGATATGAAGTAGTCAAGTTAGTCAAAGTCTCTGTTTTTCCTCAGTCTCTTCTCACATCTGGCAGCACACTCAGGACCACTCTCCATGGTCCACACTGGGTGGCCCTACACCAGGGAACAATCTTTATGGTTTCTACAGCAGGACTGTAGGTGTCTGTGGGTCTAGAATAGGGAGCATTGGGGACCAAAGCCAGAGTGGGAGTCATGAATAATTCAACAATTATAAACAAGGAACAAATAGTGTGTGTGTATATACATACATACATACATACATTGTTGTGGGTTTGTTATTAATCATTTTTCCAGAAGGAATGTCTGTTGACCCAGCATCTAAACCACTGGAAAGCTTGTAAATAGTGTGTTCCAGACTGGCAAAGCTAGCCTTCTCATAAGCGGGCATGGGCTCACATGTTAAAAATGTTCTTCCCCTTAGAATTCTAGAGTGGAGTTATTGCGAGTTTCAACATATCAGGTGTGTGTGTGTGTGTGTGTGTGTGTGTGTGTGTGTGTGTATGCTGCTTGCACAGGTGTGTGTGAGTACATAACACCCTAATGCCATAACATATGTGTGGAGGTCAAAGGACAACAGGTAGGGGTCAGTTTTCTCCTTCCACATGTGGGTTCCAAGGATTGAACTCAAGTAGTTAGGTTTTGGTGGATAGCACCTTTACCTGTAGCATTATGTCTCCTGCATGTGATATGTTTTAAGCAAATGATGAAATGAAACAATTAACTAAACTGTAATTTTTTTTTCTCTAGTTATATCAGAGGAAGAAAATGAACTAGGGCTCTTTTTAAAGTTTCAAGCAGAACGGGATGCAACTCAAGCTGGCAAAATGATGGACGCTGCTGGCAAGGCACTCTGTTCTTCAGCTAAGCAAAGGTTCTCCTTTGCTATTCCTTACCCTTCACTCTGTAGTCACATGATGTCTCCTACGTGTGCTAAGTTCACACAGCAAAGAAAGGCCACTGGCCATTCTAATAAGGCATTCAAGAGAAATGTGTTTGGGGATATGTATTTATGCCTGGCTTTCATTTATTCATTTACATTCAAAAGGATTACTTAAAAATTAATGTTCTTGGCTGCCTAATCCCTAAAAATAACATAGTGCTATATATATTTCTCAAATGGTTTACTGTAATAGAGTCACAGAATGGCTAATGTTTAAAATGCATGTTTCTACTTTTTCTGTTCCCGTTTTCTGTGATGCTGACAGTCAGCCCCAGGCCTCATGCATCCTAGTGGACACATGACCCTTGAATCACACCTTCCTCCAGTTAAGAAGAACTCATGTATCTCAGGCTAGCTTTGAATTCATAAATAATATTTACCTACCTCTGCAGCCCCTGCCATGCGCTGGGAAGGCTTGTGCCACCAAACCTGGCCTGATTTTATTCTTAATTACATACTTTCCACTTTTTATTTCACAGTGTTTATCATAAAGATTTATGTTACAAAGTCTATCTCATGTATATATATATATATATATATATATATATATATATATATATATATACATATACATACACACACATATAATATCCTTGTATTACACTAAAAATGAAGAAAGTGGCCCTATCAGTGTGATATCTGTCTAGGTGGCTTTATTCTGTAGTGCCATATTAGTGCCAAAATCCACCTTGGAGGAACTGAGCCAGTGGGACCTCGGCCTTCTAGTGCCACTGTATCAAAAACAGCCTTAGGGGAGCTGGGTTTGATTTGTGCTCCTTAAACATCTGTGTTCCTGTCTTCACTCAGCTGTCAGAACTACATCCTCCTCAGTTCTAGCATTTTATCTAATCTTTAAAACCTAGCTTCTCAGGCTGGAGAGATGGCTCAGAGGTCCTGAGTCCAGTTCCCAGCATCCACATGATGGCTCACAACCATCTGTGATGAACTTTGGTGCCCTCTGCTGGTGTGCAAGCATACATGCAGGCAGAACACTTTTTTAAAAGTGTTTTTTAAGAGATATTGAAAACAAAAAACAAAACAAAATTTCAGCTTCTCTCTACACTAGCCAATGGAGCACTCTGTGAATAGATTGTGATTTACAGAACTCTTTTCTAGACCTGCCTTCTGGGTTATTTATCTGGACCAACATGCGCAGTGCTACCGAGTTATATTTCCAAAAGTTAAAAGGGGCAGACCAAGAAGTAGAAACATACTTCTTGGGAACTCAGTCTGCTTTCTGTATCTCCTAGGCGTGTTATGACATGGTAAACATCTGTTGCATTGTGTCTAGAATTTTGTTTATGGATGTACAATCCTCTGATCTTTACTCTCTGCTATTAGATTGGCCTTGTGTACTCCCCTGTCTCGTCTTAAGCAAGAAGTAGCAACATTCAGTCAGAGGGCCGTTTCTGACACCTTGATGACCATTAATCGCATGGAGCGGGCTCGCACAGAATACAGAGGGGCCCTGCTGTGGATGAAGGATGCGTCCCAGGAGCTCGACCCAGACACTTTCAAACAAATGGAGAAGTTTAGAAAAGTAAGAAAATGTATCCCTTCCCTTTTCTGTAGGTTCATTTGTGTCTTTTGTGTTGGGGTGTTTTGTTTGCACTGGCAGAGGGCATCGAATCCCATTATAGGTGGTTATGACCTGCCATGTGATTGCTGGGAATTGGACTCAGGATCTCTAGGAGACCAGAGCAGCCAGTGCTTTTAACTGCTGAGTCATTTCTCAGGCCCTTCTTTCTTGACATTAACATACAGAACTAACACAGAATAACAGTGATAATAAAATATTAGATCTTAAAAAAAAAAAAAAGATAGGCTTTCACTGTATACCCGGGCTGGGCAGGAATGCACACACCTGCCTGGCTTCCTGAGAGTAGGGTTACAGGTACACACCACTGCACCCAGCTCTAGACTATTTTTTGAAAAATGTTTTAATATTAATTTTTGGTTGCTTTGGTATTTCAGCAAATGTACTCTTTAAGTGGCATCTCACTCCTACTCCTTTTTAAAATCCTTTTCACAAAAGCTCTAATTGCATTTTAAGTATTACCTAGAATTTTAGAATGTGTGTACAGATAGAAAGTAGTTTATTACTAGTGGGAAAGTGCATAGTTGTTGAAGTGAACATCATGTGAATGGTGGTGGTTAGTGCTAAGAAAAAGTGCAGGCTATTACATTTTTCCTTCTGCCACAGTAACTCATACCTTGTAAACATATTTTTGTTAAATGAACTCATTTTGGATTATATCCCACAGGGATGAATATGTAGCTCCAAAGTTGAGTCTTTATATATAAAGATAAATATGTTCCTTGAGTTTACTATGTATGGTATTAAAATACATTCACTAATTCGTTTCATACAGAGAAGCTATAATTAAAGTCCAGATGGTCAGTGCTGGTGGTGCATCTCCACCAGATACTGTGAGTGGCCTGCCTCACATCTCAGCCACTCCACTGCTGTGATGAAACACAAGAAAAAGCAAATTAGGGAGGAAGGGGTTTTTTTCAGCTTCCAGTTCCACAGCACAGTCCATCTTCAAGGAAATTGGGGTGGGAACTCAAGTAGAGAAGGATTCTGAAGGCAGGAGCTGGAGCAGAAGCCACAGAGGAGTGCTACCCACTGGTTCATTCCCACGGCTTTGCCCAGCCTGCTCTCTGATAGCACTCAGGACCACTACCACAGGAGCAGGGTCCTCCCACATCAACCAAGAAAATGCTCCACCCCACAGGCCGTCTACCTGTGTGTGGTAGGGGTGTGGTGCTGGGGAGTTGCTGGGGGAGGGTGAAGGTGGGTGGGGGTGGGGTGATAATGGTGGTGGTGGTGGTGGAGTATTCTCAGTTGAGGCTCCCTCTTCCAAAATGGCTCTCGTTCTATCAAGGTGACATACCACTAGCCAGCAGAACTCACTGATTGTTCTCAGCAGTCCTGTAAAATAGGCGAATACTCATCCTGCAGCCAGAGCAGCCTCTTGTCCCACTCTCATTATAGTCCTTGGCAATAACATTTAGTCCACGACAGTGATGGGACAGCACTGTGAAAGCACTAATGTCACTGCATTTTCACATGGCTACATGTACACAAGTTTCACTTCAAGTAAAACAAAGCAAAAATACAGATTCCTACCTGGTCCCTTCCTTCCAGGAATCCTGCAAAGGTCTGGTCCCTCATCCCCACACGGCGTTCTTGTTTCTTGTGCCCCTCCCGCCCCCACAAGGAACCTCCTCCCTTGGTGTTGCAGTTATCTCCTTCCTGTCCAGTTCTCGGTCATCCCAGCTTGCCAAAGGCCTTCCTAGTCACTTAGTAGTCACTCAAATTCTGTTCACTTGTTAGCATGTTTCCAAGTTGAGAGTCCATCCTGTAATGATTTCCCTTCTCTCCTGTCACTCCCTGCCTGACAATGGTGAGATGAACATTTGTTTTGTTTGCCACAGTGTTTCAGTTCCCAGAATAATGCTTCATATACATAGACAACTTGTAGATATTATGTGAGTCAATGAATGAACATTTTCAAAAGTCAGTATTTATTTACCCAATGACATTTATTAAGAAATAATTTAAATATATAAGTAACCCGATGATTTAGAAATATTATGCCTCCCAACATTTGACTGTGTCTTCTATTTATTCTTTTAAATTTATTACATTTTACTTATTGTTTGTGAGATGCATATACACCACTAGAGTATACTTATCTTTAAAGTTTATTACCTTTAATCATTTATGTGTGTGTGCACATGCCACAGCATACATGTAACTGAAGAAGACAACTTCTGGGACTTGATCCTCTCCTCCTACCATGTGGGTCCCAAGGACCAAACTGAGCTCACCAGGCTTGGTGGCAAGAACCTTGGCACACTGAGCCACCTTCCTAGCCCTTCCATTATTTGCTTCTACTCTTACTATATACTGTATATGCCCTAACATTTTGGATATTTACTTTTATCTGGAATACTTTTTTCTTAACTATATAATTTTTCTTCTCAGGTTTTCTTACCGTACAGTTGGCTACTGGAGTGCCAGTGAGATGGTTCTGGGGGGAGGGGCACTCACCTCCAAGCCTGACTATTGAATTCCATCCTCGAATTCACATGGCCAAAGGAGACAACTGACTCCCACATGTTGTTCTCTAGCCTTCACACATGTGCACCCTCCTTACACACACATGGCCCCCTGCTACACAAACGAGTAACTGTTTAAAAGAGAGCTAAATATAAGAAAGAATCTCCTACAGTTAGTCATGGGATGACAGTGACACAGAGAAAGGAACTGTTGTCTGGGGAAATTTATTTCAGACCCATTAGATTTACATATTTGGTATTGACAATAATGGAATTTTTTTGTGATTGCAGGTACAGATCCAAGTGAGAAATACCAAAGGTTCTTTTGACAAGTTAAAGATGGATGTCTGTCAGAAAGTGGATTTGCTTGGAGCTAGTCGCTGCAATATGCTATCTCACTCACTCACAACCTATCAGGTACCCACTCCACAGTCAGCATGTTCTTGCAGTAAAGATGAGTGATGAGATTCCTTTTCACAAGTTGTCTAATGGGTGCAAGAAAACTCATATCATTGGTCAGGTTCTTTCACAGATGTAATTGATATGCTGAAGTTCTGATAGAGAACCATAAAGCTCTAACTGAAGAGAGACTTAGAAACTATCTACTTGTAGGTTCACACTATTCTCTTCTGGGTGCTAGCAGGGTAAAAGACTTAAGGACTTTCTAAGGTGGAAAGTGGAGATGGTAAACCAGGCAGAAGCGGTTCAAGTCTTTAATCCCAGCACTCGGGAGACAGAGGCAAGACTATCTCTGAGTTCCATGCCAGCCTGGTCTACAGAGTGAGGTCTAGGACAGCCAGGACTACACAGAGAAACACTGCCTTTAAAAAAAAAGAAAGAAAACAGGAAAAGAAGGGGGGATGGTGAAGAGGTAAAATCTGAGACTAATAAACTCTGGTCTCTGGTTACATATACTTTTGTTTGAAGCTGTGGGTGCAGCCAGCTATGCGGGCTCATGCTAGTAATTTCAGCCCTTCAGGGCACAGACAGATGTCTTTTTGGTGAATAGTTGCCTTTTTATCCTATATTCTTTTATCCCTAGTAAATGATGACAAATATTCATAAACCACAGAATTACCAAAAAACACCCATCCCACCTCTTGGGAATGTGGGCGTTGTATTCCCTAGACTGCTTCATGTTGTCTGGTGGCAATGGCATCCCCAGGGGACCCTGAGAAAATTGAGATAATGGTCAAGCCCTAAGAAAACTAGGCCATAACATTTGTTGTCTGGTCTTTGTATAATGGGAAAGTGTAGACTTATCTGAAGTCCTGGACAGAAAAGTCTATGAGGCTGGATCATCTCAGCAGACTTGAAGCTGTTCTGGGTGTAGAACTCTAAGGAAACTTCAGCAGAGGCACTCTGAAAGGCTGGGTCACCTGGGCTACCACCCATTTTCACTGATGCCTGGCCCCCTTGCTCTGAAAACACACAAACTTTCAAAAGTAACATACATATCTGTATTAACACAAGTATGGACTGTGCATTGTATACAGGCCAGTCAAAAATGATTTTTTTGTTTTATGCTTGAGCAGGTAAAAGACATCTGTCAACTTTATAAGTTTGTTTGGACTGTATAACCAAACCTCTGTCCCTGTCATATGAAAGGATGTCATAAGGATTCTATAACCAACAAGATTAATCACGTTTCATCCAGTCTCAGATTTATTTCCATGTCAAGGAATCGTCATATACATCATCTGTCTTATAGTTTTTCTAGGTTTATTTCTTTGTCTGTAGCCAAGATTTTTCAGGGGGTCTCTCCTAGGCAAATATGATCTCTATTAATTTTTGAAGGAATCCACAGCCTTTCATTTCCTGTGGAAACAAAAGCATAACCTCTCCCCCAATGCAATATATTTTCTGACTTCCATTTTAAAGTTAAGATATCCCTACAGTTTCCAAGCTGGTTTAGTTCAGCAGTTCCTTTTACAATCCTGTGTCTCTTCAGCAGCTGCTGTTTGCTCATCAGCAGTCAAAAACTTTGAAGTTTGCCAACAAAGCAAAGATCCAGAGACTGATATTGAGGTTCAAGCTGATGGTTAGATAAGCAAAGCAGCCAGCCACTAGCTTTTACCTCTACCTCAGGCTCAAAAAGCTGTCTTGTCCTCAGCATGGTTGAAGAATAAATCTTTGGGACTGACTTTGCTTCTTTTTATACCTCTCAAACCCTAGGATTAAAGGTGTATGATCCCAAATACTGAGATCACCTTTGTGTGAACTGTTTCTCTTTAGGACTAGATCAATTTTGTTTAGTTCAGTGTGACTTTGAGCTAACAGAGATCCATCTGCCTCTGTCTCCTGAGTCCTGGGATTAAGGGTGTATATCACCACTGCCTGGCTCTATGGCTTGTGGCTGGCTTTGCTTTCTGTATCTTCAGGCAAGCTTTAATACATCATAAATAACATATCACCACAGTACCATACAAGATCCACACTCCCTGTGTATTTACAATCTTTATGTGGCTTAAATCTTTTTATATTAATTTAATTTATATATAATTAATTTATAATTACTTTAATTATCTTAAAACTATTTCTCCTATGACTGTTTATACCTATTTTCTTTTCTTTCTCACCTATGAACACTGTAACCTATTTAAAGGTTTATTAGGTCTGGACCTGTTTTACTGTGCACCCACAGCAGTCCCTGTCCATGTGAGCAAACCTTAAACTGCTATGTGGCAATTAGGCCCTCTGAGGAGGCTCTGGTGGTGGGCTCTGCCTCCCACCCCTCACCCTAGGGTCCATGAGAACTGAACCTTAAGCCTGAAAACCTGGTCTAGAGCTGTGTTTAATGGAGAGCTGCATTTAACCGCCCCAGCTCTAGCATTTTTATTTGCTTGCTGTTTCTACTTGGAATGTCTTACTTAGCATGCCAGCTACTCAAGTGCTCTTCTGCACAGCAGTGCTGCTTTGGATTTTTGTTGTTTTGTTTTGCTTTGTTTGTTTTTCCAGCAGTGCCTCTTAAAGGAGCCGTATCTGGTTTGTTTTCTGTTTTTTTCCCTTCAGCTTTCCCAGGCCCTAGGTAGAAATTTATACCCCAAGTTGGGTGCCATTTGCAGTTGGAATTTTCTTTGGGCTGCCAACCAGCTCCCAAATAAAGACACAGAGTTGTTATGAATGCTCAGCTTTAGCTGTCCTACTAGCTCTTTTAACTTAATTTAACCTGTTTCTATTCATCTACATTTTGCCTCAGGCCTTTTACCCCTCTCTCTCTCCCTCCCACCCTCCCCCCATGCTCTCTGTCCTACTTTCCTGCTTCCTCCATGTCTGTCTGTCTGACCCCTGGTGTCTCTCTGGCATCTCTTTTTCTTTCTTTCCCTGAGCCTAAATTCCTCATCCTACATATTCTCGCTGCCTGAAAGACCTGCCTATGTCTCCTTTTTATTAGACCAGTCAGGTGCCTTAGCATAGTTACACAAATATTCTGCAACATGAACAAATGCAACACATCTTTGCATAGTTAAAAAAATATTCTGCAACACTCACTTGCACTTATGCTACCCTAAAATCACATCAATAATCTATAATGAATGCTAGCTATTTATCAGTAGTAGTTGTTGACTTTAATGTATATTTGAAAGCAAGTAGAAAACTGTATTTGAATAAGGAAAGAATAATTAATAAGTTATTCATTGTTGTCTTAAAGCAATATGCCTAATTCAATTTAGTACTATGGAGTTCAAGTCTTAAAGGAAGATGTACTTGACAATAAAAACAATGACAATCTGCAGTTTAACAGCTGGTATCTCAGTACTCCTCTGTTCTCTCTATTCAGCCTTTGTCTTGGAATAGGAACCTTGAAGTAACAAGTTAACTAAGTAACTCATTTTGAGGGGTCAAAACCAAATTTGGTAGTATTTTCTGTAATGAAAAGATACTTATGGAATGGTACAAGCCTTTAATCCCAGCATTCAGAAGGCAGAGGCAGGCAGATTTCTTTAAGTTCTAGACAAGTCTGGTCTACAGAGAGAGTTCCAGGACACCCAGAGCTACACAGAGAAATAAATCCTGTTTCAAAAAACAAAACAAACAAAAAAGTAGAAAGAAAAGATATTCATGATCACGGTGTTGGTGGCACATGCCTTTAATCCCAGCACTTGGGAGACAGAGGCAGGCGGATCTCTGTAAGTTCGAAGCCAGCCTGATCTACAAAGCAAGTTCCAGGACAAGCTCCAAAGTAATACAGAGAAACTCTGTTTCAAAAAACAAACAAACAAACAAAAAAGAAGGGAAAGATACTTATGGACTATAACATAAAAAGCAAAAGGACCCAGAGACAGATATTAGGGTTCAAACTTCAAGCTGAATATCAGAAAAGCAAAGTAGCTGGCCACTAGCTTCTTCTACCTCAAACTGAATGGGCTGATCCTGTCTCCACAAACTCTCACCAAGCCTCAGACTGTAACCTCTTCTCAGCATGGCTAGAGAATGAATGACTGATACTGAATACTATAAAGACCCTGCTTTTATCTTTTATACCCCTCTAGTGCTGGATTTAAAGGCATGTGATCTGTTACTCTTTTAGACTGATTTACTCTCATGTATCCCTGGGTGGCATTGAACTCAGAACTGTCTACCTCTTATTCCCAAATTGTAGGATTAAAGACCTGTCCCATCACTTCCTAGCTTCTGGCTGCTGGGATTAAAGGTGTATATCACCACTGCCTGTACCTGTATCTTGAGGCTGACTTTGCTTTTCTGAACCCCCAGTCAAGCTTTAATAAATCATAAATAATATATCACTACAATGGCCTGAGAGTAGTGGCATACACCTTTAATCCAATGCAGAAATGGATTTCTGTGAGTTTTCTGATCTACATAGCAAGTTCCAGGCCAGGTAAGGCTACCTAGTAAGAACCTGTCTCATAAAATAAAACACAAAAATATTCTTATGGGCCATTGAGATGCTCAGCAAGTAAAGATGCTTACCATCAAGCCTGATGGCCTGAATTTGATCCCTGGGACCCACATGGTGGAGAGAACCAAGTTCTACAAGTTGTTCTATGACCTCTATAGGTACTCCATGACATGCACACACACATAAATGCTTATATATGCTAACATAAAGATGACACATACAGAGATTGGTTTGTTTTGTATTTCAAGACTTTTAGACCCATTGGTTGTCTTTCTCTTCTTAGGAGCTGTAGTCACTGTCTCAGTGCATTCCCGTGCTCTGTACAGATGGGCACATGTACATGCAGACACAGGTGCTGACCGTAATGAAGGACTGTGAACTACAGTTCTTTGTGTTTCCTGTACTTGGATAGGGATCACTTCCTGTCTGTTATTGAGCACCATAGTAGTAAGGAAACAGCCTCAGACAGATTTTAGATGGGGCAGAACTGTAGTGTCTCCTTTCCTTTTTCTGCAGAGGACATTGCTTGGGTTCTGGGAGAAGACAGCTCAAATGATGGCCCAGATCCAGGAGGCCTGTGCTGGCTTTCATCCATATGACTTTATAGCTCTCAAGGTATGTCTCTCTGGTTCTCTCCTTTAGATGTATCATACTTCATTGGGCAGTAACACTGAAAATTGTCTTTAGCTAAGCTTAATATCAAATGCATGAAATCTTGGGAAACATCTTTCCCCACACCTAAGGGTCCATAGTCTCTAGGTCTCGAAAGCCACCAATAGCCCTAAAATACCAGGGACCTTGCAGGCTGGGGTGCTAGTTGGAAGGAGAGTAGAAGCTGAGGAGCCAGAGGTGGTGGCTCAGGATTAGGAGCTGAGCTCTTGCAGAGGACCCAAGTTTGGTTCCCAGCACCTATGTCGAGGGCTCACAGCTTCCTATAATTACAGCTCTGGGGCCCAACTGCACACTCTTCAAGCCCTGTGGTACTTGTACGCATAACTAAAAATAAGTCTTTGTAAAAAAAAAAAAGCTTTATAGGATGTGAAATTTAGTAATAAAAATTTTAAACTATTCAAGGCAGTGGTGGTACACACCTTTAATCCCAGCACTTGGAAAGCAGGTCCTGAATTTGAGGCTGGTCTACAAGGTGAGTTTCAGGACAGCCAGAGTTACACAGAGAAACCCTGTTTCAAACAAACAAACAAACAAACAAAACCCTTAAAGTCCACAGGGCTATGAAAAATCTGTGGGAAGGGAAAAAAATAACAAGTGATAGAAAGTATTTACATATGCTCAAAAAATGATCAGATAACCCACTTGTCAATTTTAGCAGTTTAAGGCAAATTTCCATTTTGCCTTTATCCCAATGTAAAAGATGTTTTCCATGGTGCCCAGATCACATGGCATGGCCTGGCAGGGATGCGACTGCTTGCAAGAGGGAGCTCTTTCCATAGCATGGACATATGAAAGTGTGTGCACGTGTGGTTACAGTTACGGGCATGTGAAAGTGTGTGCACGTGTGATTAGTTTCTCCATGCTTCACAGCATCCAGTCACATCTTTGCATGTGGCTGACTCAACACAGTCACACTGTGATACATTTCTTCTGTTCTGATTGGCTAAAAGGCCTTAAGTGCCTTTTAACTTACCATTATGTGCTGGGGGGGGGGGGAAGAGGGCTGGGACAGGGTTTCTTTGTGTAACAGTCCTGCCTGTACTGGAACTCACTTTGTAGACCAGACTGACCTCAAACTCACTGTGGGCTGTTTCTCTTTAGGACTAAATCAGTTTTGTGTAGTTCAGTGTGACCTTGAACTAACAGAGATCCACCTGCCTCTGCCTCCCATGTGCTGGAATTAAAGCTGTGTGCCACCCCCGCTTTTAAATTTTCCTATAGTAAGTGCTTCAGTGAATAATGTTTTATGTATTTAGGCAAAAATTATGTGCCTAATTTCTCCTCAGAATTGAAGCAGAACATTTTTAACTATGTGTTGAGGGTTGCAGTATAGGCCAACATTGTGTTTTCTTTGGACCTATCACAAGTTGCTACCCTTTCCCTAAGGCAAACCTTTCCACAGATGGCTCAGGGCAAATTATACCAACCCACATTCCCACAGCTCTCACTCTATTCAGAACTATTTCTATTTTATATTGCTGTCTGAAGTTTTTACTCACCTCTTGCTTGTAAAAAGAAATAGATTTTTTTCAACCTGCTTAACATTAAATTTCGTATCCCTAGCGTCTACAGGACACACCAGGCAACCTCACTACAGACTACAAAGAAGAAGCAGAAGGCAGCTGTCTTACTGCAAACCTCAATAAGTAAGTGAGCGAAAGCTGCCTCTGCTGCTGTGCAAGTTCCGGATGCCACCTCCTCTCTGGCTACTGAATACTTACTCTATGTCACTTTTACAAACAACACAAGCATTTGCTATATTTATCCTGCTGTCAACATGGCAGGCAAAGGAGAGGACAAAAACACAGTCAGCTGTGGTGATGACTTCAGACTGTGTCATGAGGAAGACAGTGCATTGTGCTGGGAACTGAGTGCTCTAGGGAAGCCCGGCAGGGGCAGCAGGAGTGCAGGCAGGTCCAGACCTGGTAGCTGTTAGAAACCCACAACCAGGTAACACAGTGGAGACTGGGAGCCAAGAGCCTTGCTCATGCCCACTTCCCTGTGCTCTGCCCATGCTTTTCTGCTGCTGCACTCTTAACCAGACTGTCTCAAAAGACAAAAACAAAACAGCAACAATAAGTCATGACTAAATAGTTAAATAAAGTTTTTTCATTCTCACAGAGGAGCTTTCTTGAAAATTTCGTGTTTGTACTATCTTCAGTAGTGAGTGTAAACGCTGTTTTGAGTTATTGAGCAGATTCCCAAACATTTTCATCCAAGTTGTTTAAAAATATATACGTATCTGGGCAGTGGTGGTGCACACCTTTAATCCCAGCACTCAGGAGGCAGAGGCAGGCGGACCTCTGTGAGTTTGAGGCCAGCCTGGTCTACAAAACAAGTTTGAGGACAACCAGGGCTAAGTTTCTATTTACTCTGAAAGGATTTTTAGTATTTTTAAAATTGATACTGTATCAGTCTTTAATATATTTAAAGCTATATTGATAGCCTTCAATACTGATGGCTGTAAAGCATGCCCAGGGATAACAGTTTCCACGCGCCACTCCTGTTATATGGCTGATCTAACTCAGCACTAGACACATGCTGCAAGTGACCACTGACTAGGGATGGCATAGGCTAGCTTGTCTTGTCTTCTTTTGCAAATATTGCTTTCTTATTCTAAGTAGAATGCCACGTTTTGTATGGGGTGTTCATGTCCTACAAATTAAGTAAAGGCCACCACAGCCCCCAGTACATGAAAATGAAACACCACAGCCTGCAGCCAGGGCCTCTGAGGTGCACAGGCTGAGAGCCCTCACCCAAGGTGTCTGTACAAGTGCTTCAGTTCTCAGACTTTAAAAAGAATTTTTGTGTATTCACAGAAACATATTGAGATATCTTAGGAATGGGATCCAAGTCTACACATGAAATTCATTTATGCTTTCTTATCTTTTATTATTGATTGGGATAATTTTAATTTGAAAATAAGTTCAAGTCTGTGGGCAGTACTCTAAAACACAGTAAAAATAGCAAGAGTATTGTTATACAGCTTACTGGCATGCAGTGGTTTCTTCAGTGAAGATGAAGAGCAAAGACTCCAGAAATTTCCATGTAATTCCACCCTGTATGCCCCCTCTTTTAGAAGTCCTTACTGAAGGGAAGACATAGGCACAGAGGAAAATAACTGGTGTGAGTTGTTCTGTGTCTTATGTTTGTGACCTGGAGTGGTATTACTCTATATTAAATAGTTTGTACATAAAAACAAGTTTTGTGATAAAGAAGTTTTCTATTTATCCTATCGTCTTGGTGTTCAAAAAAGGCTGTGGACATTCTGGAGTTCAGATTTCCAAATTAGGAATATTCAACCTTGAATTGGCCCAGTGCCTACAGCCCTGATATAGATTCTGAGTTAGTGTTTACTGAAATGAGGAGTGGAAAATAACAGTGAAGCCAGGAAGTTGTGACGCTAGCCTTTAATCCCAGCAGAGGCAGGCAGATCTCTGAGTTTGAGGCCTGCCTGGTCTACAGAGTGAGTTCCAGAACAGACAGGACTACACAGAGAAAAAGAAAATTAAGAATAAGGTTTCTACAGTCTGTGCAGATCTATAGAATTAGGACATGCTCGGTTAGAGACTTGATCTACCAGCAAATGTTTTATGTACCTCCTGAATTAAAGTTTTAATTATATGAAACTGGGAGCTATGAACCTCAGACATTATTTTAACCAAAATCTCTGTTTTTACTTTAGGGTAGCTTTGTCAGAAGAGGAAGAAGGATTTGAGAGAGAACCAGGTAAGATAGTAGATCCAATAAATCAAAATGGCCACATTTTAATGTCAAAATAATTTGTCACGCTCTTTTAAAAGACTTTTAAAATATTGATTTAAATTGCATTTAAAATGTTAATTTAGCTGGGTGCGTTGGTTGCATATGCCTTTAATCCCAGGACTTGGGAGGCAGACGCAGGTGGATCTCTGTGAGTTCGAGGCCAGCCTGGTCTACTGAGCTACCTGCCTTGCTACTGACACTTTAATGCTGGCATTATAGTTTGTTCTCATCTTATAGTTTTCCTCTGTGGTTGGTGATTTCTTTCAGTGTGCTTTGAGTCCTTTTTATTTTTGGTGTTTTGTGGATCACCTTAAGACCAATACAATCTTACGTTTATAAGATACAATATTGTAATAGTAACAACTCAACACTGATCACAAAGAATGAAAATAAAATGTGAAAATACTACCTTCAAAAGCTCCTGACAGGCATCCATGGCACATGCTTTTAATCCCAGCACTCGGGAGGCAAAAGCAGGCAGATCTCTGAGTTCAAGTCCAGCCTGGTCTACAGAGCGAGTTCCAGCGCAGGCTCCAAAGCTACACAGAGAAACCCTGTCTTGAAAAAAAAAAAAAAAATCTTCTAGAAGTTGGAGAGGTAACTAAAAATTCAAGAATATTTACTGCTTTTGCAGAGCACCAATGTTTGGTTTCCAGCACCCAACATGGCACATGCATGCACACGTGCACGCGCACACATACACAGCAAAACATTCATATACATAGATTAAAATAAAAATTGAAAACCCTCAACATTTGCATGGTCTCTTGTAGTCCAACATGGCCTCAAACTGGCTATATAACTTAAGATGACACTGAATTTAAGATCCTCCCTCCCCTACCTCTGGGGAGCTGAGATTATAGACATGTGTCATTGTGCCTATCTTTTATACATAGTTCTGGGGACTGAACCCAAGGCCTTGTACATACTCAGCAAGATACTATCACCTGAGCTACGCCCCCCTGGCCCATTTTGAAATTTTGTGTTTTTGTGCTGTTTGTTTTTTTCAAGATAGGGGTTCTCTGTGTTGCTTTGGAGCCTGTCCTAGAATTCACTAAGTAGACTAGGGCTCCATTTTTAAAGTTTGATGTCTCATTCTATATCTTAATTTTTTTTGAACTAGGGCCTCTCGATGTAGACTAGGTCGGCCTAAAATTCATACAGATCTACCAGTTACTGCCTCCTTAGTGTGCCATCACAACCAGATTCAGCCCTTTTTTAAAAAAATAAAATAAAATAAATTTTATTTAAATTAGGAACTATCTTATTTTACATACCCATTCCAGTCCCCTCTGGAATGCCCCCCACCAACCCCCCATCCCATCACATCCTCCATCAACTCCCCAGGGAGGGTGAGGCCTTCCATGGGGGAATCATCAAAATCTGTCTCATCATTTGGGCTTTTGGTTTTAATTATTAAGAATTACATGTATTGCTGGGTGGTGATGGTACACACCTTTAGTCTCAGCCCTTGGGAAGCCCTGAGTTCAAGGCCAGCCTGGTCTCCAGAGTTTCAGGACCGCCAGGGCTACACAAAGAACCCTGTCTTGAAAAACAAAACAAAAATTACGTTATTTGTGTGTGGGTCTGTTTATGTGGTTGCATGCATGCCACAGTCCATGTGTGGAGTAAGAGGACAGTTGGTTCCCTTCTCCCATTTGTCCTCAGGATCAAGTGCCGAAAACTGCTGAGCCATCGGGGGGACTCATGTTACACCTTTCTGTATTACCTTTCTCCTAACATAAATGTAGGTACTGTTGCTTTTACTTACATTGTTAGACCATTACTAAAGACACAAAAGTTTACACATCATGTTTATATTAGGGAACTGTAGTATAATGCATGCATTTTATGTCTTCTGGGTTATGTGTGTACTATTTTTCTCGATAGTATCTACTCCCTACCCCTCTCTCCCTTTTCAAGGCAGGGCTTCTCTGTATAGCCCTGGCTGTCCTGGAACTTGCTCTGTAGACCAGGGTGACCTTGAACTTGGAGATACACCTGCCTCTGCCTCCCAAAATCTGGGATTAAAGGACTGCGCCACCACTGCCCAGCCTTAACATCTCTTTCAGTCTGAAGAACTCCTTTTAACATTTCTTTAGGACAGGTCTGGAGGAGAGAACTTCTCCCAGTTTTTTCTTCTTCATTTTTAAAAGACAGCTTTTCTGGGTATGGTATTCTTGGCTACCAGTTTCCTTGGTTACGGTGAATACCTCCCATCACCATCTCTTGAGCTGCAAATATTCTGCAGCATAGTCTGCTCCAGGTAGAGTTAGATGGATGGCTTTATGTATGTTTGCTTTAACACTTGAGAGCTTACTGAATATCTTATTCTTAGATGAGTGTAACTGAATTCTTTGACATTCCTGTGCCTTAATAACCCACTTTGGGTCTGGGAAGTCGTCGGTTACATGACCTTCTCACATCCCTCTTGAACTATGACTTGCTGTTGACTCTTTAGTACTGTACTACATTTCCTGTTTTTTCCAGTTCTCATGTTTGCTCCTCCTTGCCTGTCTTCGAGATGTTTTTCCCTCTTACATAATGTTTTCACTTTGTCAGTTTGAAGTCTCTGAACCTGTGGACATTTCCCACTAGTTTAGCACTAGATGGCTCCCATCCAAGTTTGCCTCAGGTTTCCTGTAAGATTGTCCTCAGAACTCAGGTGCCCATGATGGAACTTAATCTGAAATCTCAGCACTTGAAAGACTGAGACAGTAAGTTTGCCACCAGTGTGAGGCTATCCTGGGCTTTAGTGTCAGACATTGTCTCAGTAAATAAATAATGTTTTAAAAGGATGCCCTCCCTAAGCTTATGTTTGTTCAATCTGTAGCCGACACATTATTTGGAAATAACTGGAGGGGTGTCTGTAAGGAGTTGTTGATTCTTGTAAGCCTATCCTGGGCCTGGATGGGCTCAGATACTCCATCCACTGCCATCAGCCTGTAGCCAGGCACCACAGCATTCCCTCTTCCTATGCATGTCATGAGGACTCACCAGCCCCAGGCTCCTACACAGTAAGTTGGTCTCTACTTTCCTTTTCTTCCCCAAGTGGACAGTTGTCTTCTGTGTTATGATGGCTGACATTGGGAGAGAAATGGGGTAAGTAGTCATGAGGTGACCACCATTTAAATACTAGGCCATAATTGGGTCCTACAGCCTAAGACCAGCAGTGGGGAAGGACAGGGTTAGGACCAAAATGGACTCTGTTCCTGGTGGTTCAAGACTACCTCAAACAGCTCATTACTGCCAGGCAGAATGTAAGTGTAATGAACATGAGCACGGTTTCCACCTGACATTAGGGCAGGTTCAGAGCCCCTTCCTCAGCACTGGCCTAGGGATAACGTTGGGTTTTACCAGCCAGCAATCACATTTCAACAGCCTTGCTTCTTGTAGTAATCTTGTAGTACTACTTATTGGTAGTAGTCACTTGACCCATATGACACTAAGCTAGGTTCTACCTCAGTCTCATATCCACAAAGACCAGTGCAGTTTGAGGCCGTTCACCAAGCTCACAGCGATGCAGCCCACCAGAGCGGGAGCTTTACCTGATGCCACTGCAGATCAGTAGCTCCATCCTGAGAGCAGACCTAAGGGGAGGGTCCTCAGGTCAGCCTATTGCTGCATCTCACCACTGGGCCCTGTGCTGAGCTCCAAGGTGAAGCCCTGTGATTACCTCCCTGCACTGAGTCACAGTATTTATGTCTGGGCGGGAAGCACTAGAAGAGTTACTTGGCCATCTGGCTGAGGGCTAGAGCAGAGGGTCTCAAATTGTGAGTCATGACCCCTTCGGGGCTTGAATGACCCTTTCCTTGGTTGCCTAAGACCATTGGAAAGCATGTTTAGCTAGTTATCAGAGTTCCCTGCCATTGTATATGAAGCCCTTTGGTATTTATCACTGACTATATTCTGGAGACATCTCCATTTTTGCCTAGGAGAGGTATGGATGAAGGGACACTCCCCCCTCCCCCAAATGTTTTAGGGACCTCAACTCAGGAAAAGCCAAGATTTATGGCTTCAGAAAATTGGAATCTTATGAAAAATATTAAAAGGAGGGAGGGTTGGAGAGATGGTTCAGTGGTTAAGAGGTCCTGAGTTCAATTCTCAGGACCCATATGGAAGCTCACAACTGTCTGTAACTGTAGTTTCATGAAATCCAATGCCCACTTCCAGTGTTCAGCGATACATGTAGAAAAAGCACCCATTCACATAAAAGATTTATATATGTATTATGTATACAGTGTTCTGCCTGCATGTATGCCTGCATGCCATAAGAGGGGACCAGATCTCATACAGACGGTGTAAGCACTATGTAGCTGCTGGGTATTGAACTCAGGACCTCACCTGGCTAGACAGCTCCATTCATTTCCAGCTGGTCGCTCTGCTGACTTCAGTAATGTTACAAAACAAATTGTTCTACAGACCAAAGCAGTGAAACTTGGACTCGTTGGAGGAATAGTCCCTAAAGTCAGTTGTTCTGATCCCAGCCAGCTTTTCCCCGTTCTTTCAGGCAAAGTAGTTGGCCATGGTTTAGCCTTATGCCCAGCAAGGTTGCCTTTTTCTTGGTGCTATTAGCACAGCCCCACTAAGAATAGTCTTAGGCTTGAATTCTCTGAAGAGCAGCCAGTGCTCTTAACCTCTGAGCTATCTCTCCAGCCCAAATAAATAAATCTATAAACTATATTAATAGTGAAGCTGAAGAGATGGCTCAGTGGTTAAGAGCACTGGTTGCTCTTCCAGAGGACCCAGGTTTGATTCCCAACACTCACCTGGTGGCTCACAATCATCTGTAATGCTAGTTCCAGAAGATCTGACACCCTCTTTTGACCTTCATGCATACCAAGCATGCCCACTGGTACATGTAACATGCAGGCAATATGCTCATACACATAAAATAATAATTCAAAACGAGACAGGGATTGGGCAGGTGGCTCAGTCAATATAATTGCGCTGAGTTTGGATCCTCAACACCCATGCAAAAACTTGTGTTTAGGAGCCAGTGGAATGGCTTACCTGGTGAGGGCACTTGCCATCAAGCCTGATGATCTGAGTTTCATTGTCCAGGAACCACATGGTGTAAAAAGGGAACTGTTAGGGAGTTTGTGACCTCTGGGGAAAAAAAACCACATACTTAACCCAGTTATAATTAAAAGATCTATTGATTAGCTGCTAGCAGGACAAACAGTCTGAGCCAGATTTGAGATTGCCATCAAGGAGGGTCTAAGAAAGGACTTTAAAGGGGAAAACCACACAAAGACCTTCCATATCTGTGCAAGCAAAAAAAAAAAAAAAAAAAAAAACTGTTCTGTTTTGTTAAGTGAAGTGATTAAGGCCACTCAAAACAATCTTTGGGTATCTGTGTAAGCAAGTTACAGAAACAAGAAAAACAGTCACATCATAACAAGTAAACGGTCTCATTGGTACATTTTTGGGTAGGATCAGAGTCAGGGTTACTGGGATGTGGAGTCAGTGACACACAGCTGGGGGGTACCAAGATGGATGCCTAGAAAAAAATGAGTTTCTTTATCCTACTTTCTGAAATGGTCCCAAGATCTTCACATGCATGCCATCACACATGCATGCTGCCACATTCACATACACACAACAATAAATAAATATACCCAGTTAAAAAAAATTCTGGCCAGGTGAGGGTGGCACAAGCTTTTAATCCCAGCACAGAACAGAGGTAGGCAGACTTCTGAATTGCAGTTTATGAAGTCATATTTTACAAAGATTTTAAACATGCATTCAGTAGTGAGATGCTCAGAGTAAGACAGACCCAAGCGTGGGCATAGGCTTCTCAAAGGAGAGTTGTAATATTATCTCTATGTGAAGTTGTATCTCAAAAGCTTAAGACCTTTCTCAGTTGGGCAGGCACACACCTTTAATCTCAGCACTTGGGAGGCAGAGACAGTAGCATCTCTGTGATTTTTGACGTCAGCCTGGTCTACAAGGCAAGTTCTAGGACAGTCTTGTCTCAAAAAAAAAAAAAAAAAAAAAAAAAAAAAAAAAAAAAGAAAAGAAAAAAAGAAAAGAAAAAAGAAACCTTTCTCTTTCCAACAAGAGAGAATATATGGAGGCTGTGCAGATGTCCTGATAGGTTTATACTTTGTAAGGCCAAACCTGCAGCCACTAGTGTTGCATAGGCTCTCTGCTGAGACTCTTAGGAAGCTGCAGGGTATCAACTGAGATGGAAGAAAGGCCTTAAGCAAAAAAGTTCCTTGTGCTGACTTCTGATTCTTGCTGGTGAGGGGCTTCAACCAAACTCCATCATGAGCAGCTCCGTCTCCTCCCATGTTTCCCTAAGTCCTCCTCTGTCCTCTTACTCACCGCAGCTGGGCCACTCGGTGTCCATCTGGGTGGGTGATGGGAGCCTCTGCTCTTGACTGTAATTATGGAACTTAGCCTCAGATAAAAGTACAGATTGTGAAATGGAGGGGGTTATAGCCCCTGGGTATTCCAGGCTGGAATGGTTATGGTAGGAAAGGGCTGTTTTCAGTACAAATACCAGATTTTCCAGTTCCTCCTGAATTCTGGAGCTTTTAAGTAAATGTCTTTTGGGTTTTTTTTTTTTTTTTTTATATCTTGAATAGTCTTGGGGCTTTTACTAGTTACACTGGAGTGAAGGCCCTGTGAGGGTGCTACAACCTCTCCCTCATTCTTGGTATGGAATTACCCATGGATTATGAAGTATTTTTATCATAGTGTTTTAGGAAGTTTGTTATTTCAGCTAAAATTGTTTCAGTGGAGGGTTTAAAATTTATCACTAAAAGAACCTTGTTTTCTGGTTTTGTTTTAAAATGGTTTTAGTACACTGTAATCAAAGCATACTGTTCATCATGGCATTTTATGTGCACACACATATCTGTATCCATGGGTTCCCAGCATCATGGAGAGAAGATGCATCTGTGTCATAGCTTCACCTTGCTGCATGTGCTGTCCTCACTTCCTCGTCTGGCTCCTTACTGCAAGGCTTGTGTCCATCGTGTCCATCTCCCATGTTGCCCAAGTCTCTGTCTCACACAGGCAGGGCAGGAGCTTATTATGTCCTAGGCATTCATACCTGTTTAGACCACTTTTATCTAAATCCTGCCTTGTTAGGAATAATTAAGGACTTATAATCAATAGAGTTGTTAAATTATGTTAATGCCATAAAGGTAAAACAAGACAGTTCTCTTGTGTCCCTGCTGTCATTTCCTTTCTGTCCTCAACCAGCAGCTGCAAGAGCTCTGCCTGGAGACTCTCTGGAAGGAGATGATTTTGAGAAGGAATTCTCATTTCTGAACAGCCTCCTAAGCCCCACTTCTGCAAGTGTTAGTGAACTTACACCGGACTGCCTGACAGCCTGTGGGAGCCCCAGTGCTGGCCTCACATCCCAGGAGCCTTCAGTGGGATCTGAACCTCTCACCTACTCTTCCCAGTTCCTCCCGTCACAGCTCTTCGACCTTGGCCTTCATGCAGATGGAGCTTTCAACAGTAAGTAATACGGAGACATTTGGACATGTGCTCTGTGTTTGCTAAGCAAAACTATTGTGGTTATTGATGCTAGAATCAAGGGAAATAGATTTAACTTCACCAGTACTAGAGAAAAATCTGCAGTCATACCAATCAACAGGAAAAAAAATATTAAATCTGAACCTCACTGCAGTTGTCAGCAAGTCTGAAACAAGGGCCGTCTCCTTGTTAACCTCCACTAAACCCATGTGCTCCAGGTGTTTACAACATTGACCTACTAAGCCACTCCTGGGTGGTGATGCCATCACCACCCCAAGCAAACCTTGGTGTATTTTTTTCCCCTGAGGGGTTCAGAATTAGCAAGAGAGAGAAAGCAAGGAAGACACTGGAGTAAGCTGCAGCAGAGGGCTGTCCTAGACAAGGGTCACCAGCAAATCCAATGTCCTATACTCAAGGCTGTACTTTGGGAGTCATTTTGCTCCTGTATCTATGCAGGTTATCAAATTGAGCCCACTCTGTCTCCAGTCCACTCAGAACTTCATTTGGTTGTCCATGTTGCTGCAAGAAATTCCAACAGGTCTTTGACATCTTAACTCCTCCTCTACACTTCTCTAGTTACTTTCCCCACAGATTCCAGAGTCAGCACACGGCTTGCATTTTTTAAAAAGCAAAGCAACATGGGCTATAGGATAAAACGAGTCAGGGTTTCTCTGTGTAAGAGTCCTGGCTGTCCTGGAACTCACTTTGTAGACCAAGCTAGCCACAACCTTTACCTGCCTCTGACTCTCAAGTGCTGGGATTAAAGGTGTGTACCACTAATGCCCAGCTGGGAATTCTTAAAGGAAGGAATTAGTTAAATGAGATTTTTCCAACATTAAAAAATGGGAAACACTACTGCAATGGAAAGAGTCAGGTTTCTGTATGATTACACAATGGATGGTTTAAAATTGCAACAATTAAATGAAGGGATAATCAACCAGGATTGACTTACTGTTATCATTTTGATAATCTTTGTTGTCAGTTTAATAATTCTTGGTTTATCTCTTTAAAAAGCTGGTTGATATGATTGCCAAGATGCAGGCCTTAAAGAAACTTACTAAAGCAGGTCATAGAAATATATTCAGACCTAGACAGAAGAATTTAAAGGAAAACCATTTCCAGCATTACATTATAAGGTTAGAAAGGAACAGCCGAAGGTTTTTAAACAACCATCCTTAATTTATCCAGTAACCCTACAGGAATTGACAAATGATAGAGGCTCTGTAAAGAGCTGATTGGATTCCTGTGCCAATGTTACATTTAAGGAAGCGATAGTCTCATATGGCATACATTCACCGTTTGTGAAATAGATGTTAAACTCCAGGTCAGTTTGTAATAGAGTTATCCCTAAAGACTAGATAGACTTGGTTAATACTGTTTTAGAGCCTGGTCCACAATTACAATAAAGGATCTGGTTCAGAAAAGAGGCTAAGACCAAGCCTGGCTTTATGCCATGCAGCAGCTTTGAATGCTTGGGACAGAATTGGAGAGGTATGAAAGAAAATTGAATCATTTTCTAAAGTTATACAGAGCCCAAAGGAATCCTTCATGGATTTCTTACAAAGATTGGAATCAATAGTAAATAGAATGATACCAAATTCAGAAGTTACACAAATATAACTGAATCTCTGTCTTTTGAAAACCTAATTCTCAATGCAAAAGAATAATTAGGATGCTAAAGGCAAGGTCAGCACCCTTGGAGGAATGGGTCCAAGGTACAATCAATATTGAATCTCATGACCATGATGATGCATGGATAGGTGATTTCCAGAGGTTTGAAGAAAAAACAAAATGTCAAGTGTTTCAATTGTGGCAAACAAAATCACCTTAAAAGGGATTGTAAACAGGGTATTCTTAGAAGCAATGTTGTTTCTAAGCATAATTCAAGCAGAACATCCCTCCCTTCTGGATTTTGCAGAAGGTGTGGCAAAGGCAGGCATTGGACGAAAGACTGTGTTCAAAAAGGGACATTCAAGGCATCCCTTTGCCATCCTGAAACTCCTTGAGAGGCCCCTATGCCAAATGTGGTTCAGCCATTTCCTGTCACCATGGAAACTCCTTCCCAGAGCAATTAAAGAACCTAATGCCTATTGTAAGAAATCATACTGCTGTGGAGGATAGAACAAAAAATTCAGGAGAAACCATAGAGCATGTATTCTGGCAAACTTCTATAAACGAACAAAGACCAAAATTAAAAATAAGAATAAATGACATTGTCATTGAAGGTCTGGTAGACACAAGTGTGAACATAATAATTTCACCAGAATCTTGGTATCAAAATTGGTTGCTTCAGAAGGTATATGTTCAGCTTTTAGGGATTGGAACTTTATCTTAGGTAAAACAGAATGTGAGATGAGTTGAATGAATAGGACTGGAAGGAAAGAGAGGAATATATATAAATTTACATACCATTCTCCCCACCAACCCCCCATCCCACCTCCTATCCATTTCCCAGGGAGGGTGAGGCCTCCCATGGGGGTTCATCAAAATCTGTCACATCATTTGGGGCAGGACCTAGGCCCTCCCCCATGTATCTAGGCTGAGAAGGTATCCCTTCATAGGGAATGGGCTTTGAGAGCCCATTCGTGCATTAGGGATGAATACTGGTTGACTGCCCAGGGCCCCCAACTGACACCCATGTTTAGATGCCCTGGTTCGGTCCTATGCTGATTCCCCAGCTGTCAGATTGGGGTCCATAAGCTCTGGCTTGCTCAAGTTAGCTATTTCTGTGGGTTTCCCCAGCATGGTCATAACCCCTTTGTTCATCACTCCTCCCTCTCTGAAACTGGATTCCAGGAGTTTGGCTGAGTGCTTAGCTGTAGATCTCTGCTTCTGCTTCCATCAGCTACTGGGTGAAGGCTCTATGATGGCATTTAAGGTAGGGGAAGGGCATTAAAAAAAAAAGATTTATTTAGTATGTATATAGTGATTTATCTGCATACATGCCTGCATGCCAGAAGAAGGAATCATATCTCATTATGGGTGGTTGCAAGCCACTATGTGGTTGCTGGGAATTGAACTCAGAACCTCTGGAAGAGCAGACAGTGCTCTTAACCTCTGAGCCATCCCTCCTGCCCTGGGGAGGGGCATTTAAGGTAGCCTCTCCACTACTCCATAGATTCTTAGTTGGGGTAATCCTGTGGGTCCCTGGAGATTTCTGTAGTGCCAGATTTCTCGTTAAACCCACAACAGCTCCCTCTATTAAGGTATCTCTTTCTTTGCTCTCCTTTTCTATTCTTCCCTCAATTAGACCTTCTTGATCCCTCAGGATCTCCTCCTCCCTCTCCTCCTATCCTGTTTCTCCTACCTCCCTACCCCCTCCAACATGCTCCCAGTTTGTTCAGGAGATCTTGTCCCATTCCCCTTCTTTGTGGGGGGGGTGTCTATGTCTCTCTTAGGATCCTCCTTATTTCCTAGCTTCTCTGGGGGTGTGAACTGTAGGCTGGTTATTCTTTGTTCTATGTCTAATATCCACTTATGAGTGAGTACATACCATGCTTTTCTTTCTGTGACTGGGTTACCTCACTCAGGTTTCTTCTAGTTCTATCCATTTGACTGTGAATTTCAAGATTCCATTGTTTTTGTTTTTCCCACTGAGTAGTACTCATTGTGTAAATGTACCACATCTTCTTTACCCATTCTTCAGTTGAGGGGAATCTAGGCTACTTTCAGGTTCTGGCTATTACAAATAATGCTGCTATGAACATAGTTGAACAAATTTCCTTGTTGTTTGAATGTGCATCTTTTGGGTATATGCCTAAGAGTGGAATTGCTGGGTCCTGTGGTAGACTGATTCTCATTTTCCTGAGGGACCACCATACTGATTTCCAAAGTGGTTTGAGTTTGCACTCCCACCAGCAGTGGAGGAGTGTACCATTTTCTCCATATCCTCTCCAGCATAAACTGTCGTTGGTGTTTTTTATTTTAGCCATTCTGATAGGAGTAAGATGGTATCTCAGAGTTGTTTTGGTTTGTATTTCCCAGATGGCTAAGGTTGTTGAGGAATTTAAGTGTCTTTCAGCTATTTTAGATTCTTCTATTGAAAATTCTCTATTTTGTTATGAATCCCATTTTTTAATTGGATTATTTGGTGTTTTGCTGACTAGTTTCTTGAGTTCTCTGTATATTTTGGAGATGAGCCCTCAGTCAGACGTGGGGTTAGTAAAGATCTTTTCCCATTCTGTGGGCTGCCTTTTTGTCTTGCTGTGTCCTTTGCCTTAAAGAAGCTTCTCAGTTTCAGGAGGTCCCATTTATTAATTGTGGATCTCAATGTCTGTGCTACTGGTGTTATGTTCAGGAAGCAGTCTCCTGTGCCAATTCATTCAAGGGTGCCTCCCACTTTCTTTTCTAAAAGGTTGAGTGTGGCTGAATTTATGTTGAGGTCTTTGATCCTTTTGGACTTAAGTTTTGTTCATGGCAATCTATCTCCAATCTTCTATATGTCAGCACCATTTGTTGAAGATGCTTTCTTTTTTTCTATTGTATAATTTTAGTTTGTTTGTCAAAAATGAGGTGATCACAGGTTTGTGGAATATCAGGGTTTTCAATTCAATTTCACTGGTCATCTGTCTATTTTTGCACCAATACCTAGCGGTTTTCAAGACTACTAACTCTATAACAGAGCTTGAAGTCAGGGATGGTTATGTCTCTGGAAGTTGCTTTATTGTACAGGGTTGTTTTGGCTATCCTGGGTCTTTTGGTTTTCTATATAAAGTTGAGTTTTATCCTCTCAAGGTCAGTGAAAAATTGTGCTGAGATTTTGATGGGGATTGCATTGAATCTGTAGATTGCTTTGGCAAGATTTCCATTTTTACTATGTTGATCCTACCTATCCAAGAGCATGGGAGATCTTTCCATTTTCTGGTATCTTCTTTAATTTCTTTCTTTAAAGATGAAAAGTTCTTATTATATAGGTCTTTCACTTCTCTGGTGTTACCCCCCCCCAAGATATTTTATGTTGTTTGTGGCTATTGTAAAGGGTG